CTAGGGACCTTCGGGCCGCTAAATAGAGCATTTTAAGGAGTCTTTGTTCGTGTCTGGGGAGGTCCTTTGTGGGTCTTGAGAGTAGGCATGCCCATGGGTCTAGCCCCAGTCGCCTTTGTAGGATTTGGGAGCTGAGCTCCACAACGTTACGCCAGTATTCTGTGACCTTCGGGCAGCCCCACCACATATGTATATACGTGCCCCGCCCCCCACACCCGTGCCAGCAGTCGTCTGTGGGACTTAGTCCCATATGTTTCTGTTTCACTGGGGTCATGTACCATCGAAATAGTGTTTTATAAGATTGCTCTTGGAGTGTCACACATATTGTGGTTTTGCTACATGCCTCCCATATATCTTGCCACTCCGTTTCCTCTAATACCTCCCCCAGGTCGGCTTCCCACTGGTCGGTGTATCGTAGTGTGCCCTCCCTGTTCGGAGTCCCATTGAGGTGGTTGTACAGTAGTGTGATGAGTTTAGTTTGTGTTGTCTCATTGTAACATAGTTTTTTGAAGAAGGTTAGTGGTGTCAGAGCCGCCTTCCGTATGTCAGGGTTTTGTGCAAAGTCACGGATCTGTATGTACCTAAAGTAATCTCTTATTCGTAAGGTTGCTTTGGTGGCTAGGTGTTCGTATGTGACTACGTTTTGGTTCACATATAGGTGTACGTATCTTTGGAGCCCCGTGGCCTCTATCCCCTTATAGTCTCTTGCCTGCATTCCGGGGGGGAAGGCCCTATTCCTAATGACTGGTGTCATGGGGGACGGGTGGGAGCTGAGGGCGTATTTCGTTTTGGTTTGGTCCCAGATCTGTATGGAGTTGAGTATGGCTGGATTCGCTGTTCTTAATATGGCTCTTTGCGCTCTGGGTGCCCATATGAAAAATTGTGGGAGATCCTGACCCATCATCAGCGACTCTAGATCCACCCATCGTCTCCTGTCCGGAGGCGTGTGCCACTGTATCACCTGTGTCAGCTGTGCAGCTAGATAATAGGTGTAGACATTGGGTAGTCCCAGGCCCCCCCTGGGTTTCGGTCTGTACATGAGGGTGCGCGCTATTCTTGGGCGTTTGTTGTGCCAGATGAAGGCATCTATCGCTCTTTGTATGCCCATCAGGTCCCTCCGTGTTACTCTTATCGGGAGTGCTTGAAAGAGGAACAGTATCCTCGGCAGCACATTCATTTTTATAGAGTTTACTCTCCCCATCCAGGAGATGGGCCTGTCCGTCCACTGCTCTAGTTCCGTGAGAAGGGTCCGGAATAGGGGTGTATAGTTGCGGGCAAATAGGGAGGATGTGTTCGCTGTTAGCCGTACCCCTAGATACATGAGTTCGTCAGTGGTTATCTTGAAGTGATACGTGTCGCGTATGTGGGTTAGTTCCGGGGGCTCCAGGTGGAAGGGCATTGCCACGGATGGAGTAGTTAATTTTGTATCCTGCTATATTGCCAAATCGCTCCAGTACGAGCGATAGATGGTGGAGAGAGTGTCTCGGCTCCCTGAGCGTCAGCATGACATCATCGGCATATGCCGAGACCGTGAATGGTGTTCCCCCCACCTTGACGCCCTTGATTTGCGGATGCTGTCTGATGGCTTGTAGTAGTGGCTCCAAGGTTAAGGCGAAGAGCAGGGGGGATAATGGGCAACCCTGTCTGGTGCCGTTTCCCAGGGTGAAGGGTGTTGTTTGTGCCCCTGTGATGAGTATTTGTGCCCTCAGATCGGTGTATAATGCTTGTATAGCTGTTACAAATGTCTCTGGGAACCCTTGGAATCGGAGCAGTTCGAATAAATAAGGCCATAACACCCTATCAAACGCCTTCTCCGCGTCCAGTGAGAGCGCCAGAGAAGGCGCCTTGGATTCCCCCATGTGCCAGATTGTGCTGACCCCTCGTCGCGTGTTTTCATACAATTGGCGGCCTGGCATAAAGCCCACCTGATCTGGGTGGATCAAGCGCGGGAGTAGGAGGGTGAGTCTGGACGCCAAGATTTTAGCGAATATTTTGAGGTCAGTGTTAATAAGTGAGATTGGCCTGTAGCTCGAGGCCAGTGTGTCGTCTTTCCCTGGTTTTGGCAGGAGGACAACATTTGCTGTTGCCATGTCGCCATCAGGTGTGCCGCCCTGCAGAAAATGGTTGCTAAGGGTCGTTAGTTGGGGGGCTAATACGTCTTTAAATTGTTTGTAATAACTAATGTCATAGCCGTCTGGACCTGGTGCCTTATTGCCTTTCAGGGATGCTATGGCTGCCTCTACCTCGAGTTGTGTGATTGGTTCTTGCAGTGCGTCCGCTTCCGCCCCGTTCACTTTTGGAATAGTGAGTTCGGAGAGAAATTGGTGTATGTCTGAGATATAGGTCGCGTTGGTGGCCCGGAGGCGGGGGGAGTGATTGTATATATCTGAGAAGTAAGAGGTGAACACTGCGTTAATCGTGTCAGGCGTCTCGGCTAGTGTGTTTTCTGTTGTGCGTATTTTTGTTATGGTTTTGCCTTGCGGTCTCGGGCGAAGCGCCCTAGCCAAGAGTGTGTCCGTCTTATTTGCCTTCTCGTAAAACAAGCGTTAGGACCATAGTATGGAGCGTGATACCGCCTCCAGGGTGAGGTCCCTGATAGAGTGTCTGAGGCTATTGAGTTCCCTAAGGTTCAAGTCTGTCGGATTCGTTTTGTGTTGTTGCTCTTTTTTACGTAGGGCAGACTGTAGGTCGAGTAGCTGTTCTGTTTTAGCTCGTTTTTTCTGGGTGGCTAGTTTAATAAAGTGGCCGCGTAGGACTGCTTAATGCGCTGCCCAGATCGCGGTAGGGCTAGCTTCGGGGGTTGCGTTTATCTCAAAGTATTCTGTGATGGCTTGTCGGGTTGTGGCTTGTGTTGTGTCGTCTCTTAAGAGGCTAGTATTAAGCCTCCATGACCAATTGGATTTGTAGCATAGGTTGCCTAGCGTGAGTGTTATGTCTGCGTGGTCTGACCATGTGATGTTGTTAATGTCTGTGTGGAGGACCTTGGCCATCCCTGCTCCATTGAGAAACATGTTATCTATTCTGGAGTAGGTGTTGTGTGTGGTGCCGAGTAAAAAGTGTAATCAGTCATAGTTGGGTGTTGTAGTCGCCAGGCGTCTAGGAGGGCTGTGTGTAGTTGTATGTCTTGGCCCCCTCTGCCCTGCGATCACACTGTGTCTGGTTGTGAGCTTCTGTCAGCTGCCGGACTTGGCACCGCATTGAAGTCACCTCCAACAAGAAGGACTCCTCCCCGCCCCAGCCACCAACATTTCCAGGTTCGTCCAGAACATCTGGTCTGGCTCGTTGGGGGCATACACGTTAACGATATGCACTTTGGTGGTGTAGAGGGTGCCCCCTATGTATACAAATCTTCCCTCTGGGTCAGTTTGGATGGTCGTGACGTGCAGTGGACAACTCCTGCGCAGGAGTATTGCCACCCCTGCTCGCTTTCGTTGTGAGCGTGCTTCGTAAACTGTCATGTAGGTTCTGTCCGTTAGTTTGGTGGCTGCCGACCTGGGTAGGTGTGTCTCCTGTATTAATGCAATGTCTACTTTCTTGGTCTTTAGGTCTCTTACCAGTAATCGACGTTTGTTGGGCGAGTTGAGGCCCTTGGCGTTGAATGATAGTACCTTAAGAGCCATGCGGAGGCGCAATCGGTGCAATGAGTGTGGTATGGTCTCCCGTCTTCCGGGAACCGCGGAGGGCAGTGTGTGTGTGATCGGTTGTGGGACCCGTCCCCGGCGGCGCAGGCAGCATCCAGGCAGGGAAGTTGGATTGAAGATTAGTACTTGTCTTAAGAGATAGTGTAAGAGAGAAAAAGGAAGGTTGAGTATCAAAAAACATTATCAATAAACATTCATATATACATAGAAGATAAACATTTGATAACCATCTGGTCGTAACCTGTGCCAGATTAGAGTGGGGGCGTTCACCCCCTCCGAGTGAAGTGTGGAATGTCATCTCTCGGAGTTGGTGAGTGCCCCGCGCCTGTCCACTGTGTTGAGGTTGGCAACCGGCTTTGTGCTATGGCCCTTGGTATAGGGTACTCCGATGGTACCGAGAGTTGTAGTACCCGCTGCCTTGTCTGCACCGGGTTTCTAGTACGTCATGTGGTGCTGGGTGTTCGCTATGATGTGGTCCCCCGTTGTGTCCGAGTCGTGTATGCGTCGGTGGAATGTGGGGGAGTTACGTGTGGCCTCCACCATGCTACCAGCGGGTGTGGTGGGTCTGAGCTAAGGTTCCCCGTCTATTGTACGTGGGTGCTATCTTGTCTTTGGTGTTACCGTCTGGCGTACCTTTCCCGAAGGAGATATGATATGTGGTGAGTGCGTTCGTGAGGTGCCCCCGAGCAGTAGCTGGTCCAGCCCCTGTACTTCGTCTCGAGCATGTGGGCCTGTCTTGCGTCTGGTTTGCTACATCTGTATAGCAATACGATCTATTCGTCTCCCTCAGTGCATGCGGTCTCCGTGCGTTTGGCCCCTTGGCGTCTCTGGTACCGGGTTGTCTAGGTTTTCATGCGTTTTGTAGTATGTCAGCCCGCCTTTCCCTCCCGCCCCACCCCATAATTACCCTCTAATGACATATCTAGTGTTGGTTGCATAGTCGAGCAAAGATATAACGAATAATTGCGGATGAAAGTATGGTTTGGTATATCATGGTGCGTCTCCCTCAGTGTGTGCGAACACTGTGTGTTTTAGTCCCCCCAAGGTCTACCTGGCATCTTTGGCATCGTGCTGTCAAACAGTTCGTGTGTTGTACAGTGTGTCAGCCAGCACTACCTCCCCTCCTCCCCCCCATAACATGCCCCTGCTTGAGGTACAAAGCATGTAATAAGGTATATAAAAAAGCAAAGGCTGCGCCTATAGAAGCGGAGCAGAGTACCGTTTGGCATATCATGGTAAGTGCACTTAAGAAGTAGCGGTCCCTGTGCGTTGGGTCCCTCAGGGCCCAGCCCATGCCTTTGGGGCAAAAAAAAAAAAAAAAAGGTCCAGTAAAAAAGTATGGTCATCCCCTGGGAGAACTTATCTATCCGGCGTGTGGAGCTTGCTGCCTTGAGCCTCATGGCCGTTTAGTCCAGCTGCAGGTTTCAGGTCTCTCTCTCCGCTTGTGCTGTGACCGTGTACCAGTCCCTTGGGAGGGGTGTGAGAACCGGTCGAGCCGGTCCCGGTAGAGCGAACTCTCGCGGCGGTGTGATGTCCAGATCCCGGAGGAATTTTTCTTAGGTCTCCTCCCGGTAGGTAGGTGATTGTCTTCCCCGCTTTGAAGGCCACAATTTTAAAAGGGTGGCCCCAGGTGAAGCGGATTTCATTTTGCAGTAGTATATCCGTCAATGGCCTCCACTCCCTCCGTTTTTGCAGCGTGCTCGGGGCCAGGTCCTGGAATAGGGATATGGATTTGCCCTTATAGGTGAAGTCATGGTGTCTATTGTGTCTCAATAGAGCTTCCTTAGTTGAAAAGTAATGGAAGCATATTATTATGTCCCGTGGCGCATCTGTGTTCGGGCGCCGGGCACGCAGAGCCCTGTGTGCCCGGTCCATCGCCCACCGAGCCTTGGGTATTTCTGGTAGTAGGTTGCTGAAGTATGCCTCCATAATGGGCGCCAAGGGGCCTTCCTGTGGTGCTTCCGGCTATCCCCTGACTCGGAGGTTGTTTCGCCTGGTGCGATTGGAGAGGTCCTCCACTTGCATTTCTAATTCACTAAGGTGCTGATTCAGGGATGTGGAGTGTTTTATTACAGAGTTGTGGCCTTGTACTAGTGTTTCCATGCGCTGTTCTAGTTCTGCCGTGCGGGCGCCCAGGGCCTGGATCTCTGCCTTAATGTTTAGGGTGCTGCGTGTGATCTCCCCCTCCAGAAACATTTTTACCTCTGTTAACTGCTGGAGGATTTGCGTGGTGGTGTCGCCAGTCTGTCCGGGCTGTCCCCTGTCTGTGCCTGTAGGTGGGGAGTCTCGTGTGCCCGTCCGGCGGCCATCTTGTGCGGCCTGGGTGGTGTTGGAAGCCGCGAACATGTCTGCCACTGTAGGGGAGGAGGTGAGCGGATCCCCTCGTTTTTTCCTTCGTGGGGTGGCACTAGGACCCTTGTGGGGCATGTAGGTGTCTGTGTGCGGTCGCGATGCGGATTGCAGAGGCTTGGTTAAGTGTGGGTGCGCAGGAGCTCCCTTATTAAGCCGCCATCTCCGTCGGCTGCTAGGCCACGCCCCCCCTTCTGGCGTTTTTTTAAAAGAAGTTTAGTGATTTATCAGAGACTCAAATTAATTTAATTGTGGACGGGATATATATAAAACTCCAAAATATATATATTTTTTTGATAGTAAGTTCTATTTACAAACTAGGGGTACAGCTATGGGGACCAGATTTGCGCCAAGTTACGCCAATCTTTTTATGGCGCATTGGGAGGATCTTTTTATTTTTATGGAAGAACAGGTTGGGGCAAATCTGATCCTCTATAGACGTTATATTGATGACATGTTTATAATATGGAAAGGGGGTGAAGAATCACTTAAAACATTTTTAATACCCTAAATAATAATGAGTGGAATATTACCCTTGTATATGAAATTAGTCACCAAAACATTAATTTTCTTGAACTGTCGATTTTATATAGAGGAACAAAGAATCAAAAGTAAAACCTATTTTAAATCGGTGGATGTAAATAGCTTCATCGATTGTTATAGTTGCCACTACAGACCGTGGCTGAATAATATCCCAAAGGGCCAGATGTTGAGACTTAAAAGGAATCGTACGGAGAATAAAGAATTTGTACAACAAGCAGAAGGACTAAAGGAACAATTTCAGGAAAAAGGGTATTAGAGCGCCCCCTTAGAAAAAACCTTTAGGGAAATTGAAAAAATTGATAGAAAATAACTTTTTTACAATATAAGAGTAAAAACAAGGATTTGACTAAAACTGAACACGAAGAAGTACCGCTCATTTTTAATTTTTGAACTAATAATATTTTGAGGAAGATTATTAATAGAAATTGGCACATTTTAAGGACAGATGACAAGTTAACCAATTTTATTAAGTATAAGCCGAATATTATCTTTAGGGGCACAATGAATTTAAAGCAGGTTTTAACAAAAAGTTTTTTAAACCGAAAAGAAAGTAAGTTTTTTTAAAACAACCGAAAGGATTCCATTATTGTGGTGAATGCAGAGGCTGCAAAATGAGGAAAGGAACACATAGAAAGATTTCAAAATTTAACTCAAAAGTTACGAAAAAGGAGTATGACATTAGTTCGTTCATTTCCTGTAATAGCAAAGATGTTGTATATATGTTAACTTGCCCATGTGGACTACAATATATATATAGGAAGAACCTCTCGGTGTCTCAAAATTAGGATTAGGGAACACATTTATAACATCAATCGCAAATACCTTAACCACAGTGTTTCAAAACAGTTTCTGGAATACCATAACGGTGACCCCAAGGATCTAGAATTTGTAGGAATAAATCAGGTGACGATACATTGGAGAGGTGGGGATAAAGAGAATTTACTGAACAGGACTGAAATTATGTGGATTTTTAATATGGATACTCTGACACCACAAGGTTTGAACGTGGACTTTGAAATCACCCCATATTTGTAAATTATATAAGATTTTAAATCGCTCCTTTGTAGTGTAAAGGAGTTGATGTTTAAGATTTTTATATTGTTTTTTATTTATTATATTTTTTATATATTTTTTTTTACACAATTAATTCATACAATATGGTCTTAAATATTTTTTTTTGTAAATTGATATTTAAAATGGGGGTTGATTTCAGTGTCCCCTTTTTAATATATATATATATATATATATATATATATATATATATATATATATATATATATACGTGTATTTTTAATTTGTGATTAATATGTTTTAACCAATGTTTCCTTTTCCTCCTCTTTTTTTCTCCAACATATAATGATGTTTTATGCTGATAATATGAGAATAAGCTCTCCTTATGATTTTTATGGCAATATCAATAAGTTGTGTTTTATATTTGTATTGGTAGTCAACCAGTTATGTGTTTATTGTATTTTTTGCCCAATTTGGGCTTGTGGGAATCCATCTTTGAGCAGGGCAGGGACTTTGTGGGCGGATAGCTCCGACCCCAACGTGAGTGTCACGACGCTAGGATGGAGACAGCGTTGTGACGTCATGAGAGGAATGCGGAAGTGGCGAGAGAATTAAGGATGCGATCAGACGCCGGAAACCGGAAGGGTGATGTGACTGCGTCCTGACAGACAAAAATGGCGCCAATGTGGAAGATATTTAAACAATTAAAGAAGAAGATGAAGGATGAACTTTTGAAAAAGGCTTTGGTGAAACGCGTCAAGTTCTATTTATGCACAGTGGACTTTTTAGTTTGTTGTTGTCTTTTTATCCAGTTACCTGTAGTGTGTCCAATAAAGTTTTTTGTGATACAACATGGAGCAGTCTACTAAGTGCATTCATCTGATAAGCTTCTAGTCTGAGACAGCTTTTATTAAGTGGCTCATGACCATGTGAGTGTTACCAATTCACAGTTTAAACTATATCTAGTTGCTGCGTTATTACCCTATGTTGGTATTCTCCCTGTTTTTATATTTATAGGAGGGATTGTTGTAATAACTCAACGTGCAATAAGGGTAACGTGCATTATTATACTTATTAGTGTGCTCTCACCATCCACTGATTTTGACTTATTGTATGGTTTTGTTTTATGTGAATGAGTGACTCACATTGGCAATTGTACCTTATTCTTCTTTTATCTTTACTATGCCCTTAGCAGGTTGTTTACAGTCCTCCCGGTTTGTGGAGAGTCTCAGGATTGGTGTTGCATGTGCAGGCAGTCGGTCTGGTAGGGGTTCTAGTTGTCTGCTCTGTACCTTATCTTGCTGCGCTGACCCCATGCTCGTCGCTGGGTATTGCAGGCGTTATGCCGGTCGGGCATCTCGCCTCCTAGAGGCCTGTTTGTTTGACCTCCGCCACCTCTTGTAGGTCGGTCCACCTGCACCTCCACCTGGCAAACACTTCGTCTAGGCGGCGTGAGATAGTAGATATATCTCCCAGGCAGGTCGGGGAACACATCGCGTCCGCCATTTTAAGTGTTCCGGCAGCGTGGTTAGTGATTGCGGCTCTACCACAGGGCACAAATGGGTCCGGGGAGCTTCCAGGGTGGGGACCAGGATCACTTCCACCGCTCCAAAGGGGGGGGAGTTGTGGGGCATCAGCATGGTGGGGTCCGGTCTGCGCCGGGCCGAGGGATCGGCCACTTCTCTCTTCCCGAGTGCTCACCAGGCCCCACTAATGGTGGTTACAGGCTTTGACCATACAGCAGCAAGTGACTGCGGGAGGTGTGCCCAGGCCGGTCAGCCGATTAGGGGGTACAAGAGTATGCATGGGCCCCGGTTGGAGTGCTACAAGAGCTGGTTAATGAGCTTTAGGTAGGGTTTTGGTAGGAGCTCTTGTGAAATGCGACCTCTCGCCATGACAGTCAGGCCCCGCCCCCCCAAGACCCTATTTTTTTTAAATACACTAATAGGTTAATTATAATTGTTGTAATTGATAAACACATTGTATTTTCATTGTTATTCTTCATTGCCATATCAATCCATTATAGTCATAGATTTAAATAAAAACACAAAAAACTTTTCAATTTATTAAATTATTGTTTGTATTACATTTAAATTTGGACATTGTTTAACACACTTCTTCTTTTCCTCCCTTTGATTTATTATGGCAAACTGGTAAGCTGAGATTTTTCTGAGCAATAACCCATGGAGACAGATGTTTCTTTATAAACTGTCAAAACGCGTCTCTGGAGCCCTATAGGAGTATTTAATATTGATTTTAATTTTTAACTAAAATATTCTTTTAATGATAAGTTGTTTTTTATAAGTTGTAATAAATAGTACTATATTTTATTACCTTACCTTTGGACTCCCGTCACCTATTTGGTCCAGCACTTAAAGAAAGGTTCGTGTCCTCTGTGTAGACACTAAAGTCTTCACAGTTAGAGCCAGGTACAGCAGGTTCTAAACAAGGTAAGCAGTTTGCAATATATTGTACTGTATATTTTCATTGCACTAGGAGTTTCTCCTTGGTTTTCTTTTACAAGCTCATAAAGGAATTTTGTATCAGGGTCTGTGTCACCATAGTACAAGTCTGCTGTATAGATTTGATAAGAGGCTCTATCCCATGTGAGTGTATCCAATTATATTATCACTCATATCTATCACTGACTATATTATACTATATTTGTGTTTAATTTTATAGGTTGCATATCCCTTTGTTTCAAGGGTGAGTGCCAAACCTCACAGCGCTCTACTGATTGACTGGTGTGGGTTTGTACACCACCCAGTTAATTTTTGGCTTCTCCCCCAGTACCAAGGGCTGCCAACTCACCAATATTTTACTGGCACATCTGGTAATTGAGGCTGCCTGGTTGGTACTTACCCTACGTTCGTCTGTTGAGTCGAACACATTCAAATGGCTTTTTCATTCAACCTTTTGTTAATTTACACGTTACAGCCTGCAGCTGATTATTCAATTGACTTTCGTTTAAATCCTTTCGTGTGTTCCATTTACCGAATGCAGGAGCTCTTTCTATTTATAGTACTCTTGTTCATTCGGTTAACTGAACGAAAGGGGCCACAGTGTTTAAATTTACTAATCTACTATAAAATATCTAGTTATGTCTCTTACTTATACCAAGCACTCACATTAATTTTTCCTATATGATGTTAAGTTCATTATATGGTGTGACGAAGTGCCCTTCGCCACTTGGTACTGTAGAGGCCTGCTTGCCAGCCTCCTCCCCTGTGACTATGACTCTTTGATATATTTGCCTTTAAAGCCCCTATTCTACCTACAGACAGACTATTTATGTAGGCTGCCTTATTTATCTTATGTTTTAGTCACCCTGTACCCATTATAGGTGCAGTGTGTGTGTGTAATGTAATTGTTTATAGTGTGTGTGTGTACTGTGAAATGTATTGCCTTCTCTCCTGTACTGCTGAGGTTTGCTACCAACTAGGTGGGTTTGGCTATGGAGCTTGTCTAGTGCCCTCTGTTGGTAGCAACAGCAATATGCACTACCTGAATTGCAAGACTGGTTC